GCAAGCTGAAATCCTGTTTTCACTCTTTTGTATCCTGGTGACCTCTGGTAAGTTACTTGACCTTTTTATGTTTCTGTTTGTGCTTGTGAAATGCAGAGAGGAGAAGCAACCCGTGGGATGTGACAGTTAAATGAGGGTGAATGTCCTGTGCCGAATGGGCGCATGGCAGGAAGTGGGGTTTAGTAAATGGAGAGACCGGAGAAGGTAGGGCAGCGGGTGCTGTGGTGCATGGGAGTCGGTTTCTGTCCCCTTCTCATCTCTAAGCCACTACCTGCTTCCTGCCAGCGTCTCTTCTCCAGAAGCCATTCCCTGCTCTTGTCCTTTGCTGACATTGCTCAGCCTCTCCCTCTTTCCCATCGCCACTCTCCACCAGCCACTTCAGGCTCCTGCTGTCTCGGGCTTGCCTTTGTTCCCATTAACCTCCAGGCTGGGTATCTTCTCACTTTCTGAGGGTTTCTCCCTTCCAGTCTCTCCAAGCCAGTTCCAGTTACCCTTTTTTTGGCCAGATGTTTTCCATGACTTCGTGAATCCTCTTGAGCCACATAGCTTTCCTCTTTCCACTCTGCGGGTGCCATTCCAGGCGTGTGTCCTCAGGCAGCTCTCCTGTTCCTGGTTCTGCACGTGTCTTCTCAGATGCTTGTCAGCACTCTTCCTCCTGGACTGGCCTAAGCAGTAATTTATTGCTACCTCATTTGGGCAGCCCAGCCCAGCTAATTATAATGCTTAAATGTCTAGCTAAAAGTATCTCAGTCTACCAGTTAGAAGAATACCTTGGAAAACACTTTCTCTCTGAAGGTTATCTTGATTGGAAAGGAGCCTTCTGTTTTTGGCCCGCAGTGAATGAATGCATGGCAGCTCAGGACTATGCATTGGTGTCTGGATTTCTTCTTCCTTGTGGAGTTTATGCAAGGTAGAGCGGCTCCCATGCTGGGAGCAGCAGGATCAGACCCAGCCAGGCCAGTTTTCACAGGCGCTGCCATCTACCCTTGGTCAGGCTGGCCCAGGGCATGGAGATCCATATAAATGGGTTTCTCAGACTCTGGAAAACTTGGAAACCACTGTCTTGGCAACATACATGCTGCAGCGAAGTATCTGAGTAACCGCTAGTGGTAGACACTTAAAAATCCAAATCTTTCACCTCTCCCCAAACCCGTGCCCTTCTGTGGAGCCTTCAGGCTGATCCAGGGCTTGTCCTCACAACTTGCTTTGGCCAATGGGATAGGAGCAAACTTGATTCAGTCAGAGGCATGAAAAATGTTATATACCTTTCCAGGGTCTGTTTTAGAGCCCTGGCTTTGCCGTGAAAATAAACCCCGGCTAGCGAAAGAGGCTGCAGGGAGCAGTGGCAGGTGCAGGCTGACCACGGATGTACAAACAACCCCAACTCAGCCAAGCCTGGCTCAGATCAGCACACCCCACCCCACTTCCCCCAGCCAACTCATAGACTCGTGAGAAATAGTAAATGGTGATTGATTGAAACCGCTAAGTTTTGGGATGTTTTGTTATACAGTGGCAGCTAACTGCCTGCTCTGTCACCCCGTCGTTCACTTTGCTTTGGACAGTCTTGGTGCATGCTTAATGCTGAGATCGTGCCTTACCCAATGTTGTTTGGGAAGCTACTGTTTTATTTCCAAGAAAATTGCTGCAGTAGCAAGTGGATGACTTGAAATTAAAGTGCCAGAGATACTTGTAATCAAGTCATTTTAATTTGTGTACATTTGCAGACTTGATGAAAAATATGTTAGAGCTGATTTGTATATAAAGGGGCAATGTTTTCTATTTGCTTGGAGGGAATTCAGCTTATAGAAGCAAACAGGCCTCTACATAGGCATCACTGGGCATAATTTGTTTTTAACTGCTCTGGCATATAGTGGCTGGCTGTCTCAATGGCAGAGACATAGTTCTTAGCGAATGATTCCTGTGTGTGGAATTCTTGGGGCCTGAGAGCACTTCTAGAAATTCTTAGAAATAAAGTCACACTTGACCCAAGAATCAGTAGAGTGCACATTGTAGGGGCCTCCTGCCAGCTTTGGGTGGGTTCCCAACCCAAAATGGCTTTTGTTTGAAGTTAGGGGCTCTCTGTGAAAAGCCCTGCTCCCTAATAGGTCAAATTTCTCAAATTTTTAAATCCAAAACTGCATGTATAGTATTTTATACACCAAAAGCTTGTGCTCACAACTTTCTTCCTGTGCTATGTTCAGTGGGTATGCTGTGTTCCAGAAATGTATCTGTTGTGTTACACAAAGCTGAATTTGTTTTACTATCAAATAGTCTTCTCTTGCTGAAAGCAAATAATTTGAACAATCTCCAGTTGAGTAACACATTAAAAATGTACTGTACTGGAATTTATCTTGTGGGAAATGTTTTCTCTTAAAAAAAAAAACAAAAACAGCTGGTGATGGCTTACTGCTCGTTTGTGGCCCATATTAATGAGTGGAATCCAGGGGACAAGGCTGCAGGAGTGTCAGAAGCATCGTGGCCAATGGGGAGCTGAGCGTGGTGACGGTACAAGGGTCCTGGGGGATGACAGGGTAAGGCCATGGAGAGGAAGAACTTTGGCATCAGATGGGGCTCACCACTCACCTTAGTCTCAAATTCTGCAGAATGAACAAGTTTTCACGCGGTTGTAAAGCAAATGACGCAATGTGTATACAGGGTTTAGCGGCAGCATGGCAGCAGTTCTTCCATGGCTATAGAGTATTTTAATGAAGCAAATATTAAAAGTACTAGATACAAGGTCTCTAAGCAGTCCCCAAAGAGCAGAATTCACATGTGGCTAACATAGGATTCTTTCTAATATGGAAAAACACTGCTCCTCCATCTTGGATGTAGGCTGAATACATATGATCAAGATTTGGGAGGGCACAAAATCCAGGTGTACCTACAGACATGCAAATGAATTACCTCCAAAACAACAGGTGATTAAAGTAAAGGATTTATTGTAATCTGCTTACAGTCCTTTGCAAAGACAGACATATGTTTTTGCATAAAGATATAAATTGCTTCATTTTAAACTAATTTAGTGTTTTTTTAAATTATATGAACTTTTGGTGAATTATGAACTGTACCAAACCAAGATTTTTAAGAGCAATATGGTACAAAAATAAGAGCAGACAGACAGTTTAGACTGGGACAGGCATTCAACAGTGAATTTAGAATATGGCTTTGCTGTTTAATCAAGCAAAGTTATCTGGAGACACACAAAGAGCCAGTAACTTTGTTAATACAAAAAGCTGATGCAGACCATCTCCATCCCAAACCTGGTTAACTCAGAATTCCCATTTTATAAAAACTAAGTTTGAACTAAAAGCTGCTTTTTTGTAAGTAAGCCGTTTCTTTTCTAGCAACTCCCAGTATGCATGCTGTGTATTTATTACCTTCAAAGTGTGGCTTTCATATTGCTGTGCATGTAAGTTGACTGTATTTAAAGATCTGCCTATAAATTAAATTCCTGAAATTGCAAATTATGTAAGAAAAACTCCTCCCTCCAAGTGCAGCTTTCACAGGTTTCCCCTTGCATAAGGCAGGTGTCTCTTGAAAGACAAGGTAATGTTGCCTGCATGGTGAACCCTGGAGATAAGTGTTGATCCATTTGCTGCTTTCTCCTGGCCATGGGCTTCTCCAGCTACAGCTTTTAGGTTTTGGAAAATAATATGATTTCACTGAGCAAATCTGAGGATTATCATCACTTTTAAAAGATTAATTTGGCCTCTATTCAAAGTAGTTTATTTAGTGCAATCATATCGTTAGTTTCCCCAAAGATATATAGGTTTGTGGTTTCGGGCAAGAGAAAAGCCATAAATTGCATCAGTGCCAAACAGATTAATGAATTATAAATTTTAGTGCCACTGTCTTGCTTGTATGATCTGTAGTTTTTCTCCAAAACTGTTTATGTATAAAATTTATTTTTAAAACCAACCTTTTAAAAATCTAAAAACCCTCTCTCTCAGTCTCCACGCCATTCAGACTGAACCTTGCCAAGACGGGCTGTCCCAGTGCATCCTGCCTTGATCTATGTGTTCTTGTGACCAGTTCGAGGAGTGCAGAACCCCTTTCCAAGATCAAAAGGGAATAGCTGATCTTTAACAGAGAGAGTGCATGGAATTTTTTTCCTCACAGGAGAAAATCTGATTTTCTAAAATGGGAGGAAAAGATGCTCTCTGAGCCATCGAATTCTCAGTCTCGCTCTCCTAGAGCTGGTTCTGCTTCTGGAGGAAAAGGGAAATGAGGCAGCTTTTAGGAAAGCTGCAGCACTTCCAGGACCTCCTCTCCGACGTGTGTTGTCAAATGACACCTTCCAGGAGCTGCAGACACTGCAGTGTGCCACTCCCCGACGGAGTAGGATGAAGCAGAAGCCGGAAAACGTGCTCGAGTCCCACAAATGTCCCAAGCGGGAGATCAAGAACAGAACAAAAAAAGTACAGAAAAAGTAGAAAGGCTTCAAGACAACCAAAGAGGTTTAAGTGTGGTTATTTACAACAGAGACTGTAAAATGGTAAATTAGATATGAAGCTAAAAAAGGCACAGCTTTCCCTTTCTTAAATACACTGTAAACGGTTCATTATGCATGCAGGACATTGCACTTTACAAAAAAAATTTACCTTGTTTTTTAGACAAAGATAGTACTTAAATAGTCTCCAGCAAAATAGAATTCTTTCAAAAATACTTTCCCATTCATCCTATTAACCATTAAAGATTTTTTTTTTTTTGTATGTGTCTCATTTACAAAAGATCCTTATACCTTATTTCAGGTCCTTCACAATTTATACATACAGTAATGTACAGCACAGCAAAAGACTGCAAAAATTATTTGTAAAGCCAACACAGTAGATACTAGAAATCGAAACCAAGGCATTTGTTTTAACATCTTATCCATTCTAATTAAATAAGAAATGGACGCTAACGGGTGTGTATACCAGTGATGCAGAAGACCGTGGACGAGCAAGGGCTCAAAGGGGGCTGCTGCCCCACGCCACGAGTTCTGTTATTACACAACAGGAATCTGTATATATTTTTTATTTTTTGTGTTTTTTTTAAATAACAAAAGAATATTAATGCCCCATATTGACTATACGTTTTATGTGCAAACCAAGGGTAAGCTTTAAAAAGTTCATTAGTCCTTGAACCCTTTTAAAACAAGCGAACGATACCAGAAACTACATGGCATAGTTAAAACTTCCATCTGTGAAAATATCAAAATCAGAGTTATTGACTAGATATGGCTTTTCATCCCGAGGAACAGGAACATGTTTCTAAGCGCTGGGGGATTGGAGAGGGGGAAATCCTCAGACCACTCTGGTCTCGCCAAATCCATGGAAAAAAAACAGCTTTCCTGGCTCCAACCCCCTGACATGATTTTAAACTTGAGAAACTGTTCAAGTGTGAATCAACCATCATCACATGTTAAAAACATGATTTCTGGGGTCCTTCGTGGGTGTGGAACAAGACAGGGAACTTAAGGCAAAGTTCTTCCGGGGCAGGGCGGGGCGCGGGCGGTCACTTCCGGTGGAAGTAGAGCGGCTTGGCGTTCCCCGACTCCACCTTGGGCAGCTGGTCGCTGATGATCTCCACCAGCATGGCCGGGAACTCCACCTTCAGCGCCTGGGATTCTCGGAAGGTGTAGAAGCAGAATTCCAGCAGGTCGTTCACCAGCTGCAACACAGACACAGAGTAGGCATGACATGGGAGTCCCACTTCCGACCTCTGCGTCCTGACTTTGGTGGGAACTCAAAGGGCAGCATTCCGAAAGCCTCCCAGGAAACCATGTTTTCGTTAATTGAGCACAGTCATCTGTCCTGGGAGGGGAAGAAGGGTGCTCACGTCACCCATGTCATTTGCCTTCCATGGAAAACATATTCAGTTGAGAGTTGGGTCATTTTTGAGCACTGAATGTATCAGATGCAGCGGGAACAGTGAAAGAGTGCCTGGGTCATTGAACTACACTCACCAAATCCTAATTTCTGATAGTGTGCATATGCGTGTATCTTTGTATGTGGGGATAGGCCTTCCCAGGCTGTAAGGTGGGCTGGCAGGGAGGGGCAGGTGCTGGCCCAGGGTCCAAGCACCGCAGATGCCCAGGAGGGTGAGGAGCAGGAGCGAGCACCCCGCAATGCAGCTGTGGTGTCCCCTGAGCCAGGCCTGCCAATGGAGCTGCCGCCAAGGGGACAGCCAGCACTTCCACCTGCAGCCCCAGGTCCCCTTTCCCTCCTTTCCGGTTCTGCCCTGTGGGGGCAGATCTGAGCCTCCTCAGCTACTTCTATTTCAGGCTGATAGTGAGACAGTGAATACTATCAAGGACAAATTCTGAGGTGTCCCCCTAGCTCATTTTCCCTACTCTGTGAACCAAGAACCTTCCTCAGCCCCTCCAGACCTGAACTGCTCCTAATTTATGTAAAAAAAAAAAAAAAGCTAAATGCAGCACAGCATTACCGTTGCACAACAAGAACACTGCTATTCCATTTACTAGGAACAGTAATTCCAAATAAGAAAAAAAAAATTTAAAAACCACCTAAAACGCAATAAAAAAAGAAAAAATACACTATTTTTTTCTGTAGTTAATTCTATATTCCACCACGGGAAAAATGCCTTTTGGTCATTTCCAACTGTATTATAGCTGGCAATATGAATGTGACCTGCCATAAAATAACTTTAATAAAGTGATTCTGTTGAACTTGCATCTGTAACCCTAATGATTTAAAAAACCACTCAATTGGCAAGCTTTAATTGAGTCAGACAGTAAATAACTGTTTGGTAAAGGCCTCAATACAAACCAGGAATCAAGAAACTCTCATCAGGGAAAAAAAAAAACTGTCATGCTTCTGTTGGTGCCTGTCACTGCCCTCATTCTGCAGAGTGGTATTTTCCTAATCAGCTACCAAGGACTGTGGGGTTTAATGTGCTCTGCACCCACAGCATGTCTGGGCCCAGAAAGCTGAGAAATAGCACCATGTTCATACACACATGCTATGCTATGCCTCAGTTTCCTCATCTGTAAAATGGGGATAAGAACCGTCTTTGAGCCTCAGAGTTGTTTCAGAGGACTGAATGACTCAGGTAAAATGCTTCAAACTCTACTTGGAACAAGTTATTACAAATGTGGAGAAGCACCGCTAGAGCAAGACCGCTTTGATTCTGTGCTTCTCAAGCTGCTTCCACAATAAAACACCATTTTCCTCCTCTATGGAACAGTTTGTGAAACCTGCTCTGTGCCATTCTGGTGGAACTTGGTCCTTGGGTTCCCCTTCTATAAAATGAGGGATGGGAGAACCTTGTGTGTTTTGCCTTTTCAGGAATGATATTTAAGAAACATGCCATCCCACTTCTGTTTTTTCTCACATGGCAGGCCCATGGCTGTCAAAGCTGCAGCCATACTGGGTGTGGCAGTCCAGATGTGGTGCCACTGTCTGTCAGCAGTGCCAACTGCTAAGGTGGGGATGCTTTGACCAGGCTAGCACAGTCCTGCACACCCACTGCAGCGCTTGGGAACCGGATGCCCTGGAGTCCCTCCATGTGGGTGCCTGAAGGGCTGTGAGGGGGACTTTCTTAAAATTTTAACCTGAGGGTAGACATCTTGGTTTCTAGGCAATATCAACCACCGCAAGGATGACTCTGTTTGGTGGCCACACCTTTCACATTTCTGGGATTGAGCCTTGTTCATGTCTGGGGATAAACGTTCCCTGTCCTCAGGCCACAAGGGGTTTGGGAAGAGCCGGCGTCTGTTACCTATAACTCATCCTTGCCATCTATCCAGCTAAGCCACCGAGCACCTGCTCTGTGCCAGCCACTGGGGAAGCTGCAGTGAACAAGTCCCTGTCTCAAGGCATCTGTGTTCATTTCTACTCAGCAGAAATATTCACAGAAAGGCAGGTGCTGCCAGGGGAAGGAGGGAAGGGAGGAGGTGCAGTTCAGAGGGGCTCTCAGGAAAGATGGGCTTGGCACGTGACCTGAAGGCCGCATGGCCATCAGGGGACCAGCAAGTGCAGGGTGACCTAGGGAGTTCCTGAGGAGCAGAGAAGCCTGCCTGCCTACCGACTGACATCCCCAACAGGTTACACGGCAGGGCCAGGGCCACGGAAAGGTTCATATTGGTACACAGGTGACAGCAATGCTGGCACATTTATGTAATAAGGGAAGGAACAGAGTAAGTTGACCCTTGAACAAGAGGCAGCGTGCAGCGTGGGCACAACCTGTGAACCTGCGAACACGGAGAGGTCCCAGGCCCTCCTGGAGCCTCTGTCCCTATCTGTAACACTCACAGAGACATGTCCACAGCACTAAGCATCACCCAGGAGATGCTGAGAAAACAGACCAGAACAGAGAGAGGCTGGGGCGAGGGGATCAGCTGGTTTTCCTCACATGTTGGCTGGGGACAGGTGTCCCAGACACTACTCACTAACCATGCATATTAACCTGGGGTTGGCATTTCCCACCCACCTCTGTTCCATGTTTCACAGATGGAGGAAGCAGCTCATTCCCAGTCATGAGCTTCTGTTTCTGCCTTGGTCAGCTGCGGAGGGATGGCGCCTTCATGCAGAACCTGGGCCTGGTATCAGAGCCAGCAGGTGGGATTGGCCTGGCAGCTGGGGGCTGGGCATTTGACTCTGTAGGCATGATGTCACCAGTGGAGGAGGGGGTGTCACCACCAACCACTATCGAGAAAGGGCTTATCCTGTATTGAGGCAGCTAGGATGCCCATGGGGGTGAGTGTGCAGAAGGCCTCAGCAGCTACCTGAACTGCTGGCAGCCATAGAAGCCCATCTGGCACACCCTGCCCTGGGACAAGGCTGAAAACCTCTGCGGGCTTAAATCCTGCACCATGGCTGCAGTTGCTGAGGTCTAGGAACATCTGTGGGAATCGAAGTGGGGGCCCCCAGTCACTGGGTGAGGAGAACGTGACCACGCTGGTCTGAGCCGCAGGTTCTGGGCCCCGCGTGCTCACTGACCTGCAGAGCCCTCCCCAACCCTGGCCTGCTACAGCCAGTGGGCCCAGGGAGCCTTCAGGGCAGGACACACAGATGGCTGGCCCTTAGCAGATGTTTAACGTAGGGAGGCACTGCAGTACGGAGCCACATTTCAACTGGAAAATTCCAGGCGCATGAAGTTAGTAGCCGCAGGTGGTTAGATCTCAAGGAGGTAGGGGACAAGGCCAAGAGAGCTGGGTGAGTCACATATCAAACACCTGGGTCAGCCTGGATGCTGACCAGCCAGAATGGACACTGGTTTCTGTGCCACACTGCTGTGTTACGGCAAAGCATCTAACAGTCACCCTGTACATTCGCATCGGCATCTCCTGGGCACCAGCCTGGTGCAGTGCACAGGTACACATTGAGGAATATGCAGACTCGGCCCTTCTAGAGCCTAAAAAAGCCAGGAAATGAGGATACAGATGCATATAAGGCACTCATACGTCATCAGACACTGTTCCTAACCCCCCTCAGTGCATGATAGGCCACTGTCCCCAGTACAGGGTTGGCAGAGGCAGGACAGGCTGAACTCATGTCCTGGAAGGGGATGCAGGGCAGGGCGGGAGCTAGGCTGTTCATCTCTAAATGAGCACCGTTTCTAGTTTGAACCCAAACTACTATTCCCACTGCAAAGTGTGAAACCACCAAAGAAGAGTTCAGTTCATCAGCATGTCAGTTTTGGAATGGTGGGGGTGGGGGGGGGTAGGGGGTGGTGGGGGGAACCAGACCATGCCAAAGGCCACCTTTCAAAGCAAATCACTTCAGAATGACTGCGTGCACAGCTCTCCTGGGAATGCCCTGGCAATTTCCTCAGACATTCACTTGGCATGGAATAATTTTTTGAAAATGTTGCGCTCATGGGTAGCTGCTGCTGCTTTCAACCAGCTCTTTCTATGCAGTCACCTCTTCCCCGCAGGCCTTGGTAGGACCCAGCCTGAAGGAATCCTTTCTGGCCTCTCACCCCGCAGATGACACCTTTTTTTTGTTTTTCTAATTTACTTGACAATTAGCCTTGGAGCCCGGTGACCCCACTTCCTGTTTTATCCTGCTGTCTACATCTTTATCGGTTTAACTTGTCCTATTTATGGTGCAACTCCTTAAACTGCGGCCTGCAAGCTCATTGACAGAGGAATCACCTACTTACTCCCCACAGCTCCCAGGAGTGGCCCCTTCATTTTCTGCTGTGCAGCTCTGGGGTGGACTGAGGGCTAAAGGGATTCCAAGCTACTGTGGCCTGGATTCTTGCTCCTCAGTTTCTCTGACTTATTCAAACTCCCAGTGCTTGGGAATAACTTATTTCAACAGTATTTTTTAGGGTAGCATGTTGCTAGTTTTATTCAATGAGTCAAAACAAAAACTGGGCAACTGGCCGGGGGCAGTGGCTCACACCTATAATCCCAGCACTTTGGAAGGCCGAGGTGGCGGATCATGAGGTCAGAAGTTTGTAACTAGCCTGGCCAACATAGTGAAACCCCATCTCTACCAAAAATACAAAAAATTAGCCAGGCGTGGTGGCATGCGCCTGTAATCTCAGCTACCTGAAGGCTCAGGCAGGAGAACCACTTGAACACAGGAGGCAGAGGTTGTTGTGAGTGGAGATCACACCACTGCACTCCAGCCTGGGCGACAGAGTGAGACTCCATCTCAAAAAAACAAACAAAAAACTGGGCAACTTAAATGAGCATCTTC